CACACACAGCCCCGCCCCCGTTCGCCAGAAAAACGCACAGTCAGCCTTTCGGAGGACTCGTGTCTTCGGCCTTTCCCGTCTGCCCTCGTCACCGCAGCTTTTCCACATGGGGGGGACACCGCGGCACGGGGTCGGGCTGCAGGTCACTGCAGTGTCCCCTCATGGGGACAGCCATGCAGCGGAGGGCGTGCCAGTGCGAGGGTGTCTCTGTTTCGTGCCCTCGGACGCCACTTCCAGAAGGAAAGGGGATGGGCCTGAGGGTGCCAGCGCTTAAAACGTCTCCACTCCCCCCCCGCATCCACACTCTCCCACTTGTAACAGCTTGGCCGGCTCGCAGAGGGCTCTGAACACCGCTTTTTATTCTGAAGGTGTTCATTAGTCTCTTCCCGTCGAACTTTCCGAAGTCCTTGCCCGAGGACATGGTTACTGATTTGAGAGAGACAGAGAAACATCGCTCAGTTGCCTCCCACACGTGCCCCACCGGGGATCGGACCCTCAGCCTTTTGTTGTTCCGGCGGCACTCCAACCCTCTGAGCCACCCGGCCAGGCAGGGCTCCCTCGCATTTTTCTTAGGTCATTTTTTATTTTTTAGTTGCAGTTGACACCCACGGTTTCTAAACAGCTGATACAGAATCACTGCGGGTCATCCGCTCATCCAAAGACCGGAGGTCTCACTGGCCGTGAGATGTGGATGTGACAAAGGACAGTCACTTGGTCCCGATGCTGGCTGAGTGGCAAGGTCTGGGAATGGGGGTCAGGTGACCCAGGTTCCAATCCTGTGTTAAGTCGGGGAAGTCGGCTGCTCCAAGACCCAGCTTTTCCATCTGCAAGACAGGCATTTACTTCCTTGGGGCCCCGGCTGTGGCCCCCCCGGCTGTGGCCCCCCCGGCTGTGGCCCCCCGGCTGTGGCCAGGGCGCTCATGGCCCGGGTGGGACGAGGAGTCCAGAGCTTGCCTGAGAAGGTGACGGCCACATCTCCAGTCTTTGGGGAACAGCTGCTTCTGCGAGGGTTGAGGAGACAACCTCTGAGCCTCTGGGCGGCAGAGGGAGGCAGGCGCCCCCAAGACCCAAGGGGTCCATGTGGGGACTTCACTGGTGGATTTAACAGGCCGGACCCTGGGACTGCAGACCCTCTGGCTGCTTGGAGGCAGCCGGTCCTGGGACGAGGAGGGGAAGGTGTTCCCTTAGGGTCCAAGTTACAGCCGGCAAGGGCCATGCTGCAGAAAGGCCTTGAGAGGCAGCGGGGGCTGAGGCCAACCGCCTCCTTTCGCGTGGGCGACTCGTTTGGCGGCGTCAGCAAGGTGGAGTTAGGAGAGGCGAATTCGGGAGCAGGAAGGTGCTGCTGTTTGGGGGGTGCTGGGGGGCAGGAGGCAATCATTTTGCTTGCGCCCGATTCACTGGGAGCATCTGAGGGAGACTGGTATCGTGAAGAATGTAGGTCGCCACCGCCACTGGGGTTCCTCGTGTGTGCCGGGCACACCCTGAGAGCCACGCCGGGCCCTGCGGGGCCTCCCCTGGCTGGCGGGTCTGCAGGGGCCGCACCGTGGACAGAGGTGCGCACAGGGGGTGAGACCGGCCAGAAAGGGAAAAGGAACGGGCCCTGCAGCTGACGGGGCCGCACATGCCGCCCCAGAACTGTGCACGGGGCACCTGCAGGGACCAGCTGGGAAAGCCGGCGGGACCCCAGGCTGCACCTTCGTCCTCGCTGGGCTCCCCTCCTCTCCGAAGGTGCCCGCACCCGCCCGGGCCTCTATGCTGCCTGCTCACCTGCTGCGATTCTCCCCTGGGCTGGGAGGGCTGGGAGGCAGGCACGTCCTCCCGTGGGCTGTCTGGTGGAGGAGTCTGGGGTGGGGTGCCCCTCACGAGCGGTGACTGCTGCCCTCGGCCGTGCGACTGTCAGCCAGGTGCATGCGAGCTCCACCTGGCGACACCTGGGTGTGGACTGGACCGTGTCGTGGGCATGGGCTCGGCAGCAGCATGGGCAGCTGACACTGCTCTCCGAGGCGGCGTGGGCGGGACAGGAGCCGCGCAGGCTCTGTTTCAGCCCTGAGGCGTCCCCGGGGGCGAGGCCAGCGGTGCTGAGCGCACCCCAGGGGGCAGCAGCGGGCCCACGTTTCTGCTCCCATGGCCGAGATGCAAGTCTTGCTGTGCCCAGTGCTCACTGCTGGCACCTCCTGCCGGGCGGCCTGGGGAGCCCCGGCCCCTGAGCCAAGCCCGTCCAGATAAAGCCATTTGTGTGACGAGGAGCTGGGGCACGAGTCCTCTTCCCTGTCATCAGGCAGCTCCAGGGGTCCGGCCCGGACGTGCAGCCAGAGCTGCCCGGACAGCCCGGAGACGGGCGCCTGGGACCTGGGCCCCGTCTTCGCCGAGCTCTGCCTACCCAGGTCGCCCTCGAGCCGTAAAGTCACCCTGCACAGAGGTGGGGCTGTAGCCGAGCCAGCTGGAGGCGAGGAGTGTGACCTGGGGCTTCTGAGGGGACCCAGGGCTGAGCGTTCACTGTGAGCCCTCGGAACCAGGACAAGGAGACCCTGTAACTGTGGGCAAAGTGAAAACGTGACTGAATCTGGCCTCCGTCTTTCAGTTTGATGAGCTCTGCGTATTGCACGAGGGCCGTGGGATAGAGCGCTGTCCAGACGCCGAGGCCTGACCGACAGACGTCCCACCTCTGGTCTCACACTGGTGACTGTGCCTCACAGTAGCAGCGCGGTGTTAGCAGAACGGTGGTCCCCAGGCACGTTAGTGGGATCTGCTCTGCCCTCGACTGTGGATCAGGCATGAACACACGTGCTCAGATGGCTCATGCTGTCCCCGAGCTGTGGGAATGGGTGCAAGGCTACGGTAGCCTCCTTAGCTGTGGCTTCATGGTCCAAGGTTTAAGTTACCAGCGGCCCGCTGCAATCGGAGACTGCGAGATGGAAAATTCCAGAAGTAAAGCATCCACTTGTTTAAATTGTGGCCTTTCTGAAGGCTGCGCTAGAATCCCAGGTTCGCCAGCTCCGTCCTGACGGGAGGTGAACTGTCCCTCTGTCGCCCACCAGCCACGCAGCTGCCGCCCTGGTGGTCTGATCGGCTGTCTCCCTCCACACTGCAGCGCCAGTGCTCAGGTCGCCGCTCTCCTACTGTTACAATTGCCCTATTTTGTAGTTAGTTACCATTGCTCATCTCTCCCAGGGCTACTTATAAACTAAACCTGTAATAGACGTGCATGCACAGAGGGGACATGCAGCATATCTAGGGCTACATTTGTACCTTCAGGCATCAGTCAGGGGTCTTGGAATGTGTCCCCCGCAAATGAGGTGGGTGAACGGGATTCCGGGAGGGCCCAGCTAAGTGGCTGCCTCGGTTGTCAGTCACTGTGTGTGTGGGTTGCACCTGATCTCACACGGCGTCACTGGCCCTGCGTGTGTGGGCGTCTCACACACATGTGCTCACAGCGATGCCGTGTGCTCACACTCAGGGTGCCCGCTGTGCCGGAGCGTCAAGCCCCAGCCTGTGGGTGCAGATGCGCTCCCGCCGCCCCTGTCCCCACGCCGGCCCTGGGCTGACGAGACGGGCCCTGGCCTGTCAGCCGCCCTGAAACGCGCTGGGCTTCACCGCACTCCCGCAGGGCCCGGCTCTGATAACGTGATAACGAGTGATCACAGTTAATGAGACACCCGTCCTCCGTCACACCCGTGCCTTTTCACGGGGCCTTTCTGGAACACATCTTAACCCCAGCCTTCCCAGGTCCTTGCTGGAACGCCAGTTCAGCGAGGTATTCCCTCAAAAACTGACAAAAATAATAAAAAGTAAGTAAAATGCATTGGTCAGTCAAGTAAGTGTGGGGGTGCAACCGTCTCCCCTTGGGAATTAGCCGGGCCACGCGGTACAGGACCCACAAGGCCCTGCAATAAAAAGCCAGGTTTTTATCTCGTGGTGGATGCGCCCTCTGACCCTCTCGTGTGACAGCCGTCGCTGTCCCCCGGGAGGTGCCGATGCACCCAGGAAGCTGCTTTGCACTGTGAAGGCAGCCTGCACCGGGCTCGGCACACGCAATCGGCCTTGTTCAAGTTCAACAACACTTCAGGTTGGCAAAATGTTCATAGTGGAGAAGTCACCACTTGAGCCGTGTTTAAGGGCTCAGCTCAGTGGCGTTGAGGACATCGGCACTGTTGTGTCGCCGCCACACCGGCCATCTCCCCAGACTGGCGCTCTGTCGCCTTTAAACCCCAGCCCCCACCCTGACCCAGCACCCAGCCACCCTCGGCTTCTGTCTCTGTGGCTCAACCCCGAGGCCCTCGCGGAAGTGCAGTCACAGCGTCTGTCCTCCTGCTCGTTGCACGGAGCGCAGTGTCCTGCAGGTTCACCCGTGTCGTAGCAGGAGTTCCTTCTTGTGTGTGGCGGGTAACCCACCGTGCTCGGCCGGTCCGTTCCCCTGCCAACAGACCCCTGGGCCACTCCCCCCTTTGGCTCTTGTGAATAAGGCTGGTTTGTGCACCGGGCTCTCTGACACCTGCATGGTGCCCCTCTGGGTGCCTTTTGCACCCTCCAGGTGGGGGGCTGGAGTACCTGCTGCCTCTTCTCTTTTTGTGAAGCCCAGAGCGTGTTTACTGCTTCTCATCATGGGGTCTTTGTATGTACGGGCACCATATAATTCTGTTTGTAGAATATCTCACCCTAAACATGGAGAGCCAGTTCCCACCTGATGGGAATGCCTGAGGGACTCACACCGCTGGTGAAAGGAGAGGACTGCGGAGGGGATGACAGGTGTCCCCACGTCCCCAGCGGACATCCTCAGCGAGGCCGCTCCCTTGCAGTGTGTCCTCTCAGCAGAGGGGTTTGTCCTGGTGGAAACCGAATTCCTGCCGCCAAGGGGCGGAGTGGGTGGCCCCATGCAGCGGGTAGCCTTGCAGCCCGGGAGCCCGGGAGAGAAACATCTTGTTAAAGAGCGTGTGAGTGCCGGAGAGGCCGCGTCCTTGAACGTGATTTACTCCTCACTGTGTCCCATTTTTCTGCCCTAGCTTATGTTCCTGAGGAAGAGTTGAAGGCGGCGGAAATAGATGAAGAGCGCGTGGAGGAGGATGGGCTGTCCCTGGACGTCCAGGACAGCGACTACGTGGGCGGCGAAGACGCCGAGATCAAAGAGGCCCAGAGCTATCAGGACTCCCCCGTCAGCACGGCCACCAACCAGGACGCTGGCTACGGGTCTCCTTTCAGCGAGAACAGCGACCAGCTGGCCCATTTCAAAGGCCCCTCCTCCCGAGAAGACAAGGAGGACCCGCAGGGCCCTGACAGCGTCTCCTACCCCCAGGACAGCTTGGCACAGATCAAGGCCGTCTATGCGAACTTGTTTTCGGAGTCCTGCTGGTCCAGCTTAGCGCTGGATTTGAAGAAGTCCAGTTCTACCAGCAGCAGCAACGATGCGGGCCCCAAGGAGAGCTCCACCCCCGCCCCCACACCACCCGCCACGGCTGTGGGGACGGCCGGCACCACCGCCAGCACCCCCAGCACCAGCACCAGCACCAGCACCAGCAGTGGGGGAGGCAGCGGCGGCGGCTCGGGCTATGACTGGCACCAGGCGGCACTGGCCAAGACGCTGCAGCAGACATCCACGTTCGGGCTGCTGCCCGAGCCCAGCCTGTTCAGCACGGTGCAGCTCTACCGGCAGAACAACAAGCTCTACGGCTCGGTGTTCACGGGCGCCAGCAAGTTCCGCTGCCGGGACTGCAGCGCCGCCTACGACACGCTGGTGGAGCTGACGGTGCACATGAACGAGACGGGCCACTACCGCGACGACAACAGGGACAAGGACTCCGAGAAGACCAGGCGCTGGTCCAAGCCCCGGAAGCGCTCCCTGATGGAGATGGAAGGGAAGGAGGACGCGCAGAAGGTGCTCAAGTGCATGTACTGCGGCCACTCCTTCGAGTCCCTGCAGGACCTGAGTGTCCACATGATCAAGACCAAGCATTACCAGAAAGTGCCTCTGAAGGAGCCCGTGCCCGCCATCACCAAACTGGTCCCGTCCACGAAAAAGCGGGCCCTTCAAGACCTGGCGTCCCCGTGCTCCCCCGAGCCAGCCGGGGCCGCCGCAGAGGCCGCCCTGAGCGAGGCGGCCAAGGACCAGAAGGCCGCCAACCCCTATGTGACCCCCAACAACCGCTACGGCTACCAGAACGGCGCCAGCTACACCTGGCAGTTCGAGGCCCGCAAAGCGCAGATCCTGAAGTGCATGGAGTGCGGCAGCTCCCACGACACCCTGCAGCAGCTCACCGCCCACATGATGGTCACTGGCCACTTCCTGAAGGTGACCACCTCCGCCTCCAAGAAAGGGAAGCAGCTGGTGCTGGACCCCGTGGTGGAAGAGAAGATCCAGTCCATCCCTCTGCCCCCCACCACCCACACCCGCCTGCCCGCCTCCCATGTCAAAAAGCAGCCCGACTCGCCGGCGGGGTCCACGACCTCGGAGGAGAAGAAGGAGCCAGACAAGGAGAAGGTGCCAGTGGCTGGCGACACGGAGAGGAAGATCAAGGAGGAGAGCGAGGATGCGCCCGAGAAGTTCGAGCCCACCGCGCTCTATCAGTACCTCCGAGAGGAGGACCTGGACGACAGCCCCAAGGGCGGGGTGGACATCCTCAAGTCGCTGGAGAACACTGTCTCCACTGCCATCAGCAAAGCCCAGAACGGTGCACCCTCCTGGGGCGGCTACCCCAGCATCCACGCGGCCTACCAGCTGCCGGGCGCCGTGAAGCCGCTGCCCGCCGTGCAGAGCGTGCAGATGCAGCCGTCCTACGCCAGCCCCGTGAAGCCGCTGTCCGCGGAGCACACCGCACTGCTGCCCTCCCCGGGGAGCCTCACGCCACCGCCCCACAAGAGCAACGTGTCAGCCATGGAAGAGCTGGTGGAGAAGGTCACGGGCAAGGTCAGCATGAAGAAGGAGGAGAAGCCCGCGGAGAAGGACAAGGGCTCGCCGGCTAAGGCCATGTCCCCTGTGGCCAAAGAGAATAAGGACTTCCCTCGGACAGAGGACGTCAGCGGCAAGCCCCAGCTGAAGAAGGGCCCCGAGGTGGAGGCGGGCAAGGCCAAAAAGGAGGGCGCGGTGGACACCCACACCCCCAACGGCACCGAGCCTCTCAAAGCCAAAGTCACCAATGGCTGTAACAACCTGGGCATCATCACAGACCACTCGCCAGAGCCCTCGTTCATCAGCCCACTGAGCGCGCTCCAGTCCATCATGAACACGCACCTGGGCAAGGTGTCCAAGCCCGTAAGCCCCTCGCTGGACCCTCTGGCCATGCTGTACAAAATCAGCAACAGCATGCTGGACAAGCCTGTCTACCCCGCCACCCCCGTCAAGCAGGCCGACGCCATCGACCGATACTACTACGAGAACAGCGACCAGCCCATCGACTTGACCAAGGCCAAGAGCAAGCCCCTGGCTCCCGGCGCCGCTGACGTGGTCTCCTCGCCCCTGCGGGAGAGCGCGCTCATGGACATCTCCGACATGGTGAAGAACCTCACGGGCCGCCTCACCCCCAAGTCCTCCACGCCCTCCACGGTGTCCGAGAAGTCGGACGCCGACGCCAGCAGCTTTGAGGAGGCCCTGGACGAGCTGTCCCCCGTCCACAAGAGGAAGGGCCGGCAGTCCAACTGGAACCCCCAGCACCTGCTCATCCTGCAGGCTCAGTTCGCCTCCAGCCTGCGGGAGACCCCCGACGGGAAGTACATCCTGTCGGACCTGGGCCCGCAGGAGCGGGTGCACATCTCCAAGTTCACGGGCCTCTCCATGACCACCATCAGCCACTGGCTGGCTAACGTCAAGTACCAGCTGAGGAGGACAGGCGGGACCAAGTTCCTGAAGAGCCTGGACACGGGGCACCCTGTGTTCTTCTGCAACGACTGTGCCTCTCAGTTCAGAACTGCGCCCACGTACATCAGCCACCTGGAGACGCACCTGGGCTTCAGCTTGAAGGACCTCTCCAAGCTGCCGCTTGGCCAGACTCAGGACCAGCAGGGCGTCCCCAAAGTCCTGGCCGCCAAGGCCTTGGGCCCCGTGGGGGCTGCCGAGGACGACCTGGGTTCCACATTCCAGTGCAAGCTGTGTAACCGGACTTTCGCGAGCAAGCACGCGGTCAAACTGCACCTGAGCAAGACCCACGGCAAGTCCCCGGAGGACCACCTGATCTACGTGACGGAGCTGGAGAAGCAGTAGCGTCCCGGCGCCCGCGGGACTGGCACCTTGCACTACACGTCGTCCTCACACTGCACTAGGCCTGGCCTGAGCCTCCGAAATCAGCCTCCCCGGGGCTGCCGCACAGCCTGCCCGGGCCTTGGGTTTTCTTACACATATTTTGTAGCTATATTTATATGCTCTTTGTCTGATTGTGCATGTTATTTTTCTTTTTCCGTGAGTCGAAGTCTGACCTTTATTTTCAACATCTGTTCTCGATGCTCAGCTATCTTTTGTAAGTAATGGTGGGGCACACTCTTCAGAGGCACCGACTTAGCAGGAAAGAGACACACAAATGACAATGACGAGAAGACATGCGGACGTTAACCAAGTTGCTGCGGCCATGAAGGCCGCGGAGCCTGGCGGTGTCAGATTTAACCGTTGAGGACTGTAATTGCATCTCTGTGCCTTTCACTCAAAAAAAAAACAAAAAAAAAAAAAACCCGAAAAGAAAAAGGCTTAAAGGCATTTCATTCAGATCAAAAGCTGTGTCAGACACAAAACTTATTTAATAATTAAAACATGAGCTTTTATATGCAGAGCTGGTGTGCGAAGGGAAGATGCATGCAGCTATCGAAGACGGAAGGTTTTCTAGGACCGGCAGGGTTAGGAAGCCAGCACTTCACTCGGTCAACACAGAAAAAGAAAACAAACGAAAAAACTGACAGCAACAAACACCCCCGTGGCCACTACGCCCAAACGCTCTGGATGCTGAAAAAAAATGCCACTTTGGCAAAAAAAAAAGTATGCAAGCTATTATTTAAAAAAAAATGTGTAAAGATGCTATTCCTTTTTTTTCCTGTAAAATACTGCGGTTTATAGTTATTTACAAATGTAAGCTTTGGTACCAGCTGACCTTTCTATAGCGTGCCGCATTGGTAAGTGAAAAAGATGGGGCGAATGTTGGAGTCACTTCCCTTGTAAATTGCCAGCATCAGCTTGCAAACTCCTGTATGTTACATATCGTACCATTTTAATCTATTCAACTTTCTTTGTACCTTCTGGCTGTATGCTTTCTCTTTTAACTTTTTATATTGTCATTTTATATTAAATTTCGGTGTATATAATGTAAAACCACACTTTTTGAATAAAATTTAGTTCCCGCAGCTTGATTTAAATAGAGAAATTTTACTCGCATTTGCATCTTTCCAGATGCATGTATATCAGACAAAAAAAATGAATAAATGAAGACAGAGCAAGGCACTATTAATTATACGTTTGATGTTCCGTCATTAATATTGTACAGTACGTTTGGGTTCACACGATTCAATCCACTGTTTCCTCCATTGTAAAATAAATCTTCACGCCGTTCTCGGTTCACGTGCCGTGTCCTGTCATCCTTCCTCTGCCTTTGAGGCGCTGGGCAGCGGCAGGGGGAGGTCCTGCCGGCAACCCCCCCAGGTGGAGATGCTGCACAGAGCCCTCGCTCCACGATCAGTGTCACGCAGGTGACAAGTACTGCGTCATTAAAAACGATAGTTCCCACTCTTCCCATTCTGGACTCCACTGGGTATCACTGAGTTGAGCCTTGGGTTGGTGGTTGAGCCTTGGATTGGTGGGTGTTCGGTACAGAGAGGCGGAGGGGTTTCCTTCCGAGAGTTCCCGTGGGCAGTGAGCAGGTGTTAATGGTGACACTCTGGAGACTCGGCGACGAGGTCGAGGGGAGGCCTCCAAATAGCTCTGCCTTGCTCCGAAGGGGAAAGCCTGACGTCTGTGCTCTGAAGAACATGCTGTGATTCGGCGTTTGGGACCGTCCCACCCCGCAGGCCTCCCTGGGCTCCAAGGACACCCCTCCCCCCCCGAGGGGCCCTGCAGGACCCTGGGGGTGTGAGCACCCAGACCCCGATCCCCGAGTCCAGGGCCTCTGTCTGTACAGAGGGAAACATGGGTGTCTAGGCCGCCAGCCTGTTCTTACCCAGAAACATCAAGGATGTGGCAAGAGAATTTCTTTTTGTATCTTTTACTTAAATTTCCTTAAATCGCATCCTGAGAAAGGGTAGCACTTCGGGTGCTGTGTTCAGAAGCCACCGTGCAGCCGAGCTGTGCCCACAGTTCCCCGTTATGCAGTGGCCTGGCTATCCACCCCAATGGTGCCACGGCCTGCCAGCAGCCGGGGGGCTGTGTTGATGCCATTTCTGGGCGGTGCTCTGGACGCTGGGGGCCGGGCTGCAGCCTCCCGGCTGTTCCTTGGCAAACCAGCTCTGCCCTCCGGGAGCACAGCCCCCTGGGAGCACAGCTCTGTAGACATTTTGCTTTGGCTCCTGGGTGATAATGCACTTCAGGCTCCAGGCGTGATGGGAAGAATAACAGCTAGGTCCAGGGGGGATGTGGACTGAGCCCCAGAAGACAGGTTCACTGTCCCACAGGCCCACAACCATGAAGTCACACAGTTTCACCGACAGAGTTGGAGCTGGCAGCCATGCGGCGTGAAGGCAGGCGCCAGCTCAGGAGGGGCCTCGGGTTCCGCGGCTGCTGAGCGATTCGGGAATGGCTGGCCACCCTCTGGCCCTGGGGCTTGCACCCAGAGCGTGGGTTTCCTCTCTAGCTCATGGACCTCATGGCTATTGCACTGGATCCTGGCCCCCTGCCCACAGTGACTGCCACACACACTGATGATGGAGACAGGTCCTCGTCTTGGTCACGGGCCACCTACTCCACACCGCCCTCCAGAGCCCAGCGCAGCATAGAGACAGCCGAGGCCCCGTGGCTGGGCCCTGGGCCTTGGGGTGGACACAGTGCAGGCATGAGCTCAAAGCTCTGGCCTTGACCCCGCTGGTGCCTCCCAGCTCCCCCTTTGCAGGCCCAGGGGAGGGGTGGCAGGGAAGGGCCTGTGGCCTGGGTGTTTTCCATGGGTGGGGACATGAGCTAAGTGTTTCAGGTGACGTTGACAGATGGGGACCCCAGCACCACCCTGAGCAGAAGTCCCTTTTTCAGCGGCCACCCCCCTCCGACCACAGCACAGAGCAGCTCTATCTCCTGTAGATCTGAAAAGTAAGTCGAGGTCATGCTTGCTTTGAATTTGTAGTGACTTCACTGACTGCAGACAGGCCTGCCAAGCGTCATGAAAGCTCGGAGGCAGCCAGGCGCCTCTGCGGTGAGGGCTGACCGTGCACGGGTTTGTGACCTTCGTGTGCTGTGTACCAACAAGCCCCCCTCTCCTTCACCCAGTCTCCTGGGGGCTGTCCATTTCCCCGAGTCCTTTGGCCCTAGGGACCAGGTCTGCTGCCTCTGGAGCTCGACCGCCAAAGGCCCTGAGCGATGGCAGAGCTGGCCACCCGCCCACCTGCAGGGCTGCGGGCGCCAGGCGGTGGCTCGGCTGCTCGGTGTTCTGGGTGGTTGGGGTGACGCTGCTGGAGCCTTGGCTTTCATGACTAATTAAATATTTTTTTCTTTGTGGGATTTAAGGTTGGAGGTGTTCCTCAGAGTGTGTGTTGGGTGAAGAGGTTTGTTGTTTTCAGTCATATTTAAAGAGACATGAAGCCCATGAAATGATGCTGGGCAAGGGTTCACCTGGGACCCACAGTCTTCCAGGCATCGTGGGAAAAAAGTGGTTAGAAACTTAACATTTATGTCCCTACATTTCTCTATTTGGTAATCTTTAAAAAGTTTCTTACAGTAGTCTAAAATATGTCTAAACTTCTTTCAAATTCTCAGAAACTTGTCCATGCAAATAAAGGCTTCTGCTCTTTTTTCAAGTTCAAATTTCTTGTTGCTAATTTTATTATTTCTCTGAAGACGAAGACCAGGTTTTGACTCATCGACTTAGGAGACACCAAGGAGGAACATTGGGAGAACAACAGCACCTGGGCTTTCCACGCAACTTCTGCGCCTGTGACGGAAGTAACACCTCGTCACCAAACGAGATGTGGAGCCAACGACGCAAAGAAGGAGCTGAAAATAACTTTTTCTCGTGGATGGAAAAACCCGCTGGTATTTTGGTGGTGACAGCCCCCCACCCTCCGCCCGTCATGTTTCTACAAAACAGAGGTCACGCTGAGCACACGCTTGGACTTTGCTTTCTTCACTAAGTGGTAAATAATGCGTGCTTTCCCATTTCTTTAAATATCGAACGTTTCTAATCTTGCTGAGATGCCCCGTGGGTCCCAGTGTCTGCGGCCGGGTCTCCGGTGCAGCTGCAGGAACGGGGAAGGCCCGTCCCCGGGCCCGGAGGGCCGTGCAGAGACTCGGCAGGAGGGTCTCACCTGCAGCTCCTCAGAAGGAGCCTCTAGCTACTTTGCCACGTGCTCCGAAACGCGACAGCATTTACAGGTTGGTCTGACTGCTGTGAAGATCGTCTGCTGAGGGCACAGGGTCGTCCCCATCCCCAGGGGAGCACCGTGCAGGCAGCAGCTCCGCACCCGTGATGCGTGGTCTGAGACACGCACACCTTGAGTTTGTCCCCGAGCGAGAGTCGGGGCTAGTTTCAGGGTCGCAACGTGATGATTCCATACATGTGTCTGTTGCCAAGTGACTGGCACATCACGTGGTGAACACACTTCACCACGTGTGTTTACACGTTTTGTCCGTGTGACCTGCTCTCAGCTACTTCCACGTGTACAGCAGAGTCTCGTGACCTGTGGTCACCATGCCGGATGCCACACCCCCAGACTGACCAACTTTATCACTGGAAGTTTGAGCCTTTTGAGCCCCTTCGCCCAGCCCCACCCCCACCTGTGGCCGCCACCAACCCGTTGTACCTGTGAGTTCGTTTCTTCTGCCTTTGGGATTTGCCAGGTGAGTGACGTCATGTGGTACCCATGTTTCTCCGTCTGAGTGGCTTCACAGTGTCCCATTTAAGTGGGAGCCAGAAAAGCAGTTTTCGGGTTGGAGAGGCACGCCACTCACACGCACCGCAGAGGAGGCTGCGCGGCCCTGGCGTGTCGGGCGCGTTCTCCTCCGGGAGTGCGTTCGCCAGAGCGCTTCGGTGAGAGGGGCCGAGGACAGTTGCACCGGACGACAGTTTCCAGCGCACGCAACCAGTGCGAGCGTCCCGCTCGGCGCCGCTGGGTCGTCCATCAGCCTCTCCCGTGACCCTGGCTGCCAGGGACCGAAACGTTCTCCTCCTCCCAGTGAATTTTTGTGCATCACGCGGGGACCGGACAAACAAAAAGTGTGTTTGTCTCTTGGCAGGACGACCGCCTCCGTGGGCTGTGTGGTAACTGCCGTATCGCCATATGACTGAGAACAGTGGGTTTTAGTCCTTCATGGCCTGTGCAGTCTACAGTTAGATGTCGAATCCTGTTTCCAACTTTCCAATACATATCCCTGCCACTGTGCCCAGTTTATATTGATTAATCCCGGATCCATTAATCATTACATTAACCAATTTCAACCTCTGACTCTTTAGCATCATTAAAATTATGGAAGGCGAATATTGAGTTCTGTTTGGATTTCTTAACCTAAAGACACACGTGTATAGCATTTAAAAAAGGAATTCATAAAATCTGACGTTTACTTTCAAAACAACTCATTCCCCTTTCGGAGGGGCCTCCCTCTTTAGAGTCATGAAACGTGCAGACCGTGACCTTGGACAAGCAAGTCCCCGGACGGAGGGCTCTCACACTGCCCACCTGTGTGGTGGGACCGGGGGTTTTCTGGGCATTGAAACTGAACGCCGTGACCCATGGCCTCGCGGCTTCTCGCCCGGGGCTCCCTCCCTCCTCACCATTCCTCATGTAGGTCCGCGGGCATCCCGGCATTCACCACTGAGAAACTCGGGAGCAGAATCTGCTGGAAAGGACTGGGTTCAAACTACAGGTTCCCACAGACCTGTCTTAGAGAGGAAGGCCTGGAAAGTGCCTCTCACGGTGGCCGTGTCCCTGAAGAAGACATGGCCGTGCGTCTCCGCGTTCTCGTCGGGTGTTTTCTCACGGAACAGCGGCAGCACCGCGCGCTCCGACCACGCCAGCTGCTCGGGAGGAAACAGCAGATTTCCCAGGGGGCGCCGCCGTGCCGCTCTGCAGCTGACCGCGCTGCTCCTCAAATTTTCGTCTTAATGAAAACAGGCCGCCTTTCCCCCTGAGACATGTAGATTTTTAACTTCCTTGGACTCCGCTCAGGGGCTCAGGTCCCAGAGCAGTGTTCCGCATCGGGAACACCCAGTCCGCGGCCGAGACGCGGGGGTGGCCGGCGCCCTGCGGTTTCCTTGCCGGGAAGGGTCCGGCTGGTATGCGTGGACGTGAATGGAGGTGGTCGGTCCCCCGTCCTGAAACGTGAAATGGGCGACGCCCTTGTCACTGCCCTCCCCACTGAGGGCACATGGGCTACAGGTGCCGTCCTGCCGCTCCCGGTGGCAAATGTGGCCTCTCGTGAGCCACAGG